AACCAAAATAACCATTACATTTAAGATGCAATTTTTAAAATGGCACTTTATGTCTTACACAACACTTTTCTCTCCTGGAATGAATGTGTGGAGTGTCTAATCTGAGTACAGCAGTCAAAGCGACCTTTCCACAACGTAAGTGAAATCAAGTCACTCCTCTGCACGAAATTCTCCAAAGTTCCCCATCCAATCCCAAGTGCCTCTCCTGACCTGCAAGGCCCTACGCCATCTGCGTCCTGTCCCTCGGAGTACCCGTCTGCCCACATCTCCTCTGCTCTAGGTCTCACACACAGCATTCCAGCTCCAAAGCTCATTCCCAAACATTTAAGGCAAGCTCCTGCCATGAAGCCTTGTGGTACTATCCCCTCTGCTTGGAAATTCTTCCCCCAGATATACACATAGCTCCCATTCTCACATTTTCTGATCTCTGCTCAAAAGTCACCTTATCAGAGACACTTTCCTTTATCATTCTATGCACCTCCCCCTACTCTTTATCCTCTTATTATTTGATTACTCTCTGTTTTCTCCTAGAACTTAAGGTCTTCGAGAGCACAGAGTTTGCCTGTTTTGTTTACTTATATCCTCAGGTCCCTGAACAGCACTTGAGCACACAACAGATGCTTAATCAACACTGTTGAATGAAAGAGTCAAAAATATTAAAAGATATAAGGAAATTGTTCGTTATAAAGAAGAACTAGCAGGCATGACAAGCAGGGAATTATAACTTCCAAATTTGAGTAAAACAGAATAAAAATCTAATAGGCTATTAAATAAGTGTGTTTAAAATGATCAAAGATAAAAGGTGATGTACACTAGCAATATAGTTATGAGCACAGACTCTAGAACCAGGTAGCTTGACTGAAATTCTAGGTCTTTCATTCTAGCTATGTTCTAGCTATGTAAACCTGGGCAATGTATTAATATTTAACCTTTGTAACGCTGTTTCCTTATCTGTAAAACAGAAGCAAAAATAGCATTTATTTCATAGGATTACTGTGAGGATTGAATGAGTTGATGGACTGGGTTGGCCAAAAATTCCTTCAGGTTTTTCCATAACATCGGCTGGAAAAATCCAAACGAACTTTTTGGCCAACTCAATATCTATAGCACTTGAAAGTGTTTGGTATGTAGTAAGTACTTCACAAATGTAGTTGTTTGTGAAGTACTATTTTAGCTATTCTCCTTTTACTTTATCATTATTATCCATAAGAAAGGGGAAAAAAAGAAGAGGTAGGTTTGAAGAGGAATCAAATGAACATATGAAAAATATAAGTAATGAAATTTAAAACACCTCATGCTGCAAGATGAGTGCCCCATTTGCAGCTTCACATCCATATTCCTGGCAGGAAGAAGATGAAAAGACAAAAGGCGATTACCAGGCAATTTTTATCTTTTTTTTAATTGGGGGGAAAAAAGGTTTTTCCAGATGCCACATTCAGGGAACTTGCAACTCAATGGCTTGAATCATGTCACCTAGTCTTTAGGTGTGCACTTTCACTAATGGTATATATCAATTTCTACTTCCCAATTTTTGCCAACACTTAATATCATCAGACTTTTAAAATTCTGCCAATCTTATGGGCATACAATGGTATGCTATTGCTTTTATTTGAATGGACTGAACAACTTTTAATGTCTGTTGACCATGATTAACTGAATTTCCTTGCTCATTACAATGTTGCTAAGTACCTCTGCATAACAACTAACCACCAAAACAATGTTATACAATAATTACATATTTATATAGCTCAAGTGCTTGTGGGTTAGATGGGGCAGCTTGTCTGAAGTGGCTGTGTTCATGGTCTTACATCTCCCTCCTGGGACTAGTAGGCCAGCCTGGACAATTTCTTCTCACAACAATGGCTAAAGGACATAAACCCAAGTGGAACTACATGAGGTCTCTTAAGACTTAGGCTTGTTAGCTGCCACAGTGTCATATGTACCGCGTCCTAACAGACTAAAGCAAATCACATGGCCAAATCAAAAGTACAGAGGAGAAGAAATATCTTCTGGTCTGTTAGTGGGAAGAACTGCAAGGTCATATAGCAAAGGGTATGAATGTTGGTAGGGGTGATGAACTGGGGCCAATAATGCTGTCTACACAATATCCTTTCTTATTTTTTAAACTGGGTTATCTTTTTCTTATTGATTTATAGGTATCCTTTATATATCCAACAAACTAATCCTTTATCAGTTATAAGTCTTGCAGATATCTTCTCCCATCTGTGGTCTGTCTTTTTAACTCCCTTAAAGATAAGAGTTTTTATTAAACAGCAGCTTTTAGTGTTAATATGGTCAAATGTATCAGTCTGTTAACGTGCTTTCTCTATCTTGTTTAAGAAATCCCTATCTCAAGGACATTGAGTTTTTTTTTATTAATAAAGTTCTGTTTCTCACTTTTAGGGTTTTAACCTACTGTTCATTTTGCATATGGTATTCTAATATTTTTCATAAAGATACCAATCTTTCTGGCACTATTTACTGAACAGAAAATCCTTTCCCTGCTAATTTGTAATGCTACTTCTGTTATACATCTAGTTTCCATAAATTCATGGGTCTATTTCTAAGCTCCCTTTTTGGTTCAATTCATCTATTTCTCTCCCCCAATACTGCACAGCTTTAATTACTAAAACTTTAAATCGAGTTTAAATTTAAACTCTAAATTTAAACTAAATTTAGAAAACTAAAACTAAAACTCTCCCTTATAAGGCTCCTTCAAATAACATTAAAAAATATGATTGTCTCTTGTTCTTCTATATAAAAATTATGATAAGCTTATCATATTTCACTTTTAAAATATCCTATAGGGATTATCTCTGGAATTGAATTTAGAGATTAATTTATGTGAGACCATACATCTTTATAATACTGAGACTTTTTCTTAAAAAAATATTCTTTCTTTTTTTTTCTTGGCCACACTTCATAGCATGTGGAACTTCCCCAACTAGAGATTGAACCTGTGCCCCCTGCAGTGGAAGCATGGAGTCAATCACTGGACCACCAGGAAAATAGCTCTAATATTGTTTTATTATCCATGAATATGGTATAATTCACCACTCATTTAGGTCTTCTTTCACATTCTTCAGTAATGTTTCCTTATTTTCTTTATGACCTTGAATGTTTTTTGTTAGATTTATTTCTGTTGCTTATAGGTTTTCTTGCTGTAGTGAATGGGCTAGTAGGCTTCATGGGCTGAGTGGAAATGCTGCTAAAATCTTGCTATTAAGAATGATGTTTAGGGGCTTCTCTGGTGGTTCAGTGGTAAAAGAATCCACCTGCCAATATAGGAGATGGGTTTGATCCTTGGTCCAGGAGGATCCCATGTGCCATAGAGCAGCTAAGCCTGTGCACAACTATTAAGCCTGTGTTCGGAAGCCAAGGAATTGCAACTACTGAGCCCATGGGCAGCAACTACTGAAGCCCATCAGTCCTAGAGCCCGTGTTCCACAACAAGCGAAGCCACCACAGTGAGAAGCCCGTGCACCGCAAGTAGAGAGAAGCCCCTGCTCATCACAACTAGAGAAAGCCCGAGCAGCAACAAAGACCCAGCACAGCCAAAAATAAAGAAATAAATGAATTAATTAAAAATTGGGGTCATAAATGAGTGCTAAATTGTATTAAATGTTTATTCTGCATTTATATGCTTTTTTCCTCTTAATCTGGCTATTGGTTTCCTAGGGCTGAGTGTGAAGTTGTTCAGTCGTGTCCGACTCTTTGCGACCCCCAGGACTGTAGCCTACCAGGCTCCTCCGTACATGGGGTTTTCCAGGCAAGAGTACTGGAGTGGGTTGCCATTTCCTTCTCCAGAAGATCCTCCCAACCCAGGGATTGAACCCAGGTCTCCCGCACTGTAGGCAGACCATTTGAGCCGCCAGGGAAGTCCAATGGAGGAGGGCATGGCAATTCCTAGGGCTGCTGCAACAAAATACCGTCAACTGGGTGACTTAAAACAACAGAAACATACTGTCTCACGGTCTGGAGTCTAGAGATCTGAAATAAAAGCCAGCAGGGCCAGGCTCCCTCTGAAATCTCTAAGAGAGGAATCCTTTGCTTTTCCCTGTCTTCTGGTGGCCCCAAGTGTTCCTCAGGTTGTGGCTGCAGAACCTCAATCTTTGCTCCATCTTCACAGGGCTTTCTTCTCCCTGTGAGTCTCTGTGTCTCCGCAGGAAGATCTCTCCTGTGTCGTCACAATGTCTTCTTATAAGGACCCTAGTCATTTTGAATCAAAGAGCCATACTCCAGTATGACCTCATCTTAATTAATTACACCTGTAAGTAACAACCCTGTTTTCAAATCAGGTACTGTAGGTTTGGACTTCAATATATCTTTTTAGGGGGAACACAATTCAACCCATAACAATCTATTAAAATGATATATTACACTAATGGATTTTTTGGATATTGAATCATCTTTGCATTACCAGAATGCACACTAACCCAGTCTTTATTTTTATACTTATTTAGAAGCTGAAATGATAAATCTTCTGCTTTTTCAATTCTCCAATAGTATAAGGCTAAACTGAGTAGTAGGTTGAATACTGTCCCTTCAAAATTCATGTCTACCTGGAACCTCAGAATGTAACCTTATTGGAAAGAATGTCTCTGCAGATATAATTAGGATGAACTCATACTGGATTAGAGTGTGTGTTCTAAGTCACTTTGGTCATGTCCAACTCTTTGTGACCCCATGGACTGCAGCCTTCCAGGCTCCTCTGTCCACGGGATTCTCCAGGCAAGAATAATGGAGTGGGTTGCCATGCCCTCCTCCAGAGGATCTTCCTGACCCAGGGATCAAACCCATATCTTTTATGTCTCCTGCATTGGCAGGCAGGTTCTTTACCACTAGCACCACCTGGGAAGCCCATACTGGATTAGGGTGGGCCCTAAGTTCAATGACTGGTGTCCTTACACCAAGAAGAGAGGATGCATAAATACACACAAGAAAGAAAGCCACATGAAGAGGTAGAGATTGGAGTTATACAACTACAAGTCAAGGAATACCTGCAACCACCAGAAGCTGGAAGGATCTTCCCTGGAGCCTTCGGAGGGAGTGTGGCCCTGCTGACACTTTGGTTTCTGACTTCCAATCTCCAGACTGAGAGAATAAATTTCAGTTGTTTTAAGCCACCCACTTTGTGGTGCTTCGTTGTAGCCCGCCCTAGGAAGCTAATATAAACTGCACGAAATTGCCAATATCAAACTGTAATAAATAAAAACAGTAATTTCACTTAGTTGACCTAAATCTTGATTTAAAATGAACTGGTGAGGGACTTCCCTAGTGGTCCAGTGGTTGACTCTATGCTCCCAGTGCAGGGGTCTCGTGTTCGATCCTTGGTCAGGGAACTAGATCTCACATGTTGCAACTAAGAGTTTGCATGCTACAGCTAAAGATCTTGCATGTGGCAACCGAGATTGAAGATCTCATGTCCCACACCTAAGACCCGGCACAGCCAAATAAATAAATAAATAAATTTTTTAAAAAAATAAATGAATTGGTGAAAAGGGAAAGTATTTGTTTCCGTATTAACAGAAGAAGCTGTATTTAAGTTGCTATTCTGTTTCAAACGGCACTTTTGGTTACCAGCCTGTTATATCATTTCCCTTCTGTTTATTCATTATTCTATTCCTACTACTCCACCTACTCATTCAATACCTTTTTGTGGAAACAGCTCCTCAACTTTTCTTCAGAGGATCAACCTTTCACTTCTTCACTTCTTATGGGTCTGGAAGATACTCACTCGACTCATCACTCTTGAGGGCAACTTGTGACCTTGACCTGGCAAATCAGAGTACTGCATTCCCATGGCCAGTTATTGGTTTGGGGATGGACATATCAAACAAGGCCACAAAAGGAGGTTCAATCAAAGCAAGTCTTAGCATTTTTTATTGGAGCAACTAGGAAAGAAGACCAATCTTATAAGGATATGAGCCTGGAGCTATGCAGATTTTCTGCCACCATAAGAGAACCTACATGAGAAGGGATCAACACTGGGGAAAGCAGAGCAGAGAAATAGAAAGACCAGATCCAATCGACATCATTTTTCTCTAGACCAGAGGCTGGTCATTCATTTCTGTAAAGGGCCAGATGGGAAATATTTCAGGGTTTGTGGGTGTGAAAATGTGATTTATAATAAATATGTATTTTGGAAAAAAAATATGTATTTTGGACTTTGTCCATGGTTCCTGGCTCACAGTTCTCCAAACCCCTGGAATTTTCTAAGCGGTGAGAGCAATGGGAGCATCTTGTGTTATAATATTTGAAATCATATCAGAGCCATGAAGGTGAAATGGGCATCTTGTTACTTATAACAAGTCCCTTTCAACCATAACTGAGTTTATGTTAATAAGGTGACTTTTTTTGACTATTTATTTGGCTGCACTGAATCTTAGTTGTAGCATTTGGGATCAAGTTCACTGACCAGAGATCGAACTTAGGCCCCCTGCATTGGGAGTGCCAGGTCTTAACCGCCAGACCACCAGGGAAGTCCCAATAAGGTGACTTTTGGAAGTCCCTTTAAAGAATGGGGGATTGCCAGGAAGAACAATCAGTGGATTAACAGTCCCACCTCATGACCTCTGAAGAGGTGAGAGGGACTGGAGGTTGAATCAATCACCAATGGCCAATGATTTAATCAATCATGCCTAGGTGATGAAGCCTCCGTAAAAACCAAGGATAGGGTTCTGAACTTGCAGGCTGGTGAGCCAGAACTCACCCACTTGCCAGCTCCTAACTCCACAGGACAGAAGTTCCTGGTTTCAGCATCTTGTCCTATATCTCTCTTCATCCAGTTGTTGATTTATGACTGCTTAATACCCTTTGTAATGAACCAGTAAGTTAACTAGTTTTCTGAATTCTGTGATCCACTCTTGCAGGTTAATCAAGGAGGGGGTCCTGGGAACCTCTGATTTATAGCCAGCTGGTCAGAAGCATAGGGAACAATCTGATTTGTGATTAGCATGTGAAATAGGGGCACTCTTGTAGGACTGAGCTCTTAACCTGTGGAATTTGATGCTATCCACAGGTAGATAGTGCCAGAATTGAGTTCAGTTAATGTTGGGAAAATTGCTTGGTTTGGGGGAACACCTCACAAATTATAGTGGGTCATAGATCTCTTTTACAACTATTCAGCTTCACCACTATGTTGTTCAATTCAGAGCATAAAAACATCTAGACAATATGAGAAGGAATGGGCATGGTTGTGTTCCAATGAAGCTTTATTTACAAAAACAGAAACAGACAGGGGACTTCCTTTGCAGTCCAGTGGTTAAGACTCCACACTTGCAACACAGGGGGCTCTGGTTCAACCTCTGGTCCAGAACTAAGATCCCACATGCTGCGCAATGTGGCCAAAAATCAAACAAACAAAACCAGACACAGGCTCCTTTCGTTGACCCCAGCCCTAGGCTCAGTCATACCTTAAGCTATATGGATCCTTGAACTTTTAAGTTACTTGAGCCAATAAATGTCCTTTTCATTAAGTTAATTAGAGGTGGTTTTCCTTTTAACTTGTAACCAAATAATCTCAACTTACGTTATATCTGAAGATTCTGAATTATTCGTTAACTTTCATCTAACTATTAGTGTAACTATTCTTTAAAATCCATTCTTAACCCTGAAAGGAATCAAAGTTGGTTTCACAGAGGAAAGATAAATTGATGACCAAGTCATTGCCAGTTCTTTTTCAGACATGTCTTACATAAACACTAATTCTATTCTTGAAAGATTTAATAAAAGTTAATTCCTTGGGGGAGAAACAGATTTTCTTTTTCAGTCTAAGTTTCAACAAGAATTTGCTATGCAGGCAATTTGTAGACATTCAAAGTAAGCATCAGTATTGTTAAGAGTTGCAAACAGTAGTCACTGTGTACAAATTTAAACAGGCTCCTCACTGAGAGTTGATGGGGAGTGGGAGGATGTTAACAGTGAAAGTAAAGTGGAAAATTATCTTCTTCTGACTGCAGAGACTTGAACACTGTTTTGAAAAGCAGAAGAAAGAACAGAGGACCTCTGAAAAGGCTGAGAGCTGGGGGAATGATTTTAGCAACAGACTGTGTCAAAGAGCAGTCACGTGACTCTTCCCTAAAGTGAAATACCTCAAGTTGGCAGACGAACTCCTAGAGCTATGTACTCTGGTCCGGAAAAGAAAAGTATACTTTCAAGACAGGATGGAGACTGAGTTCCAGGGGCTTAATTCACACACACACACAACTAGGTAACAAACATACGGCAGGGAAGAGAAAGAGAATGATCATGGATGAGTCCAAGGTTTATGGCCTGAGTACTGGCAAAAGGTGCTTGCTATTTGTTGAAATGGGAAAGACTAGGTGAGAAACAGGTGGTAGGGGCTGGTACCTGGAGCTCAATTTTGGACATGTTAAGTTTAACGTGTCCCGTTATTCATCTAATAAGAGATGAAGAGTGGGCAGCTGTGCACATAAATAGAGTTAAGAAAATAAGTCCAGGCTGGGGATATAAGATTGGGAACCATCAGCATATAGATGGTATTTACAGTCATGAGATTAAATGTGATTACAAAGAAGGGGACTACATAGAACAGATACGAGTCCTTGGCACTCTTAACATTTAGGGAATACAGAGATGAAGAGAACCGAGCAAAGATACCTGAGAGGAAAGCCAGAAAGATAGAAAGAAATATCCTGGAGGGGAAGAAAGTGTTTCAAGGGAGAAAAGGTAGATCAACTGTGTTAGTTTTGGTAAGATGAGGACTAAGGGTTGACCACTGGATTTACCGGCGGAGAGTGTGTGTATATGTGTGTGTAAGGGTGGGTTTAAGGGAGAATGGGACCAGAGAAACCAGCACACACAACTCTTTTCAAAGAGTTTTGCTGTAAAGGGAAAGAGAATCAGGGAGGAAGTGATAGGAAGGGAAAGTGGGGTCAAGGCTGAAGAAGAATTTGAATATTTTGGAAAGAAAAAAAAAGATAACTGAAGAAATAAACTTCCAGATGAAGTAGGAAGAGATTGAGAACACATTAAAATGGTTACTATTAGAAAGGATCAGTGAGTGATGGGAGTAGATGCCCTCTTCGCAATAGGAAAAGAAAGTGACAAAGTGTACAGAGACCTGAGAAGGGAGTAGTATGGGAGCTCATTACCGATGCCTTTGGTCTCTAAGTAAATATCACTATTTGTGAAAATGATGCGGATGGGGTAATACAGTAGAATTACAGTCATTAAATATAAAAATGCTTATCTGATTTTTAATCTACCTTGATTTATACTTTTCACTCAAATCACAAGATTAAAGTATCACAACATAACCTGGGCTTAACCCATAGTAGATAATAAATATTTAGTGGATTTGTATTGGTGAAACTGTTGCATTGCTAGACTATAGCAACTGACAGGCAGGAGAAATTGCTGTTTTTCCTTAACCTACCCATCTAGGGTTGAGTAGGTTTGTTCTTTGCTCTTGCCAGGTTTTCGTAACAAAGGCAACAGATTTTGGTTTCGGTACTGATCATTTTTACCTATTGCATACCTATTTAAGCCAAACAACTGCCCTTTTGTATTCCGCTATGTTCTGATAAGTAGAGTCTGGGGCTGAGAGTCTGAAATCTCATGACCCAGGATCTTTCATCAGCTAATTTCCTGTAAGATATGCTAAATGGGTCATGATGGAAACAGAAGACCAGAGAAAGAGAGAAATTTCCAGCTTCTAGCTCTCACAGTTGCTATACTAGTAGCAGGATGGGATGATTCTGGACAGCAGCTGAGGCAGATACAGAATCTTTTTGGTGATTCAAGTTCTGATTGAGGTGGCAATTCTTCAGCAGACCCAAGACTGACTGTGTCTTCAGGAGGGCAGCACACGCTTGTCGGTTCAGCTTTAAGGGCTTGTGAACTCTTAAGCCCTTGTGGTCTCTGAGTATCATTTCCTTCTTTTTTGTTCCTCCAGCCTCCATCCTCATTTATGCTCTTCCAGGCCTTCCCACACCCTTGCAATTTCCTGTAGCATATTATCTCTGTTTGGAATATCTGGAATGACTTCCATTTTCTGGATAGGACTCTTACTATACAATCTTAACAACAGAAAAGGTCCCAGGAAACAGGCCCTCCAAAATAGGATTTGACGACTGGTTTGCTGACTATTTGAGCTTGAACAGAGTGATGGGCTTACTGTCAATGGAAAATGGAAATGTAGTGGCATTATGATTACCTACCTCATCACTCATGTTTGCTTAGGACGAAGTCCTATCAAAGGCAATGCTTTGGGAGACCAAGTGGCTCCTGCATTTGACCATCATGATAGTAATGATGACCACAAGGACTTGGGAGGCCATCTGCTTCTGACTATATTGAAGCACTCACAGAGAGGAAATGATAAGTTCCAGTCTTTAAACTCAAGTCATCATCAGAGAATCAAAGAACTTTGACAATGATTCTAAACGAAGCTCTCTGTGAAATCACATGGTGCATATAGCTAAATATTAGACCCCAAATGTGTGGGTTGCAAAATAACAACACAGGTTGTTTTAAGATCCTGACCAAGTCTCTGATGCGACAGGCACTGATGGTGAGAGAGACCCTAAGACTTGGAATGGGAACATCTGAATAGGTTCAGGCAATCTGAGAACCTTGAACCTCTAAATTCCCAAGAGCCTCCCTCACCAAGGAAGCTGCCTGTCCTTCTTAGTCTGAGGAGACCAGCCTTCCTTTTCTTGAAGATAGTAGAAACTCATCTGAGACAACTACCTTGCAAGGAGATGCCAATTTTCCTTCAGACATACCTCCCCACTT